GGTGAGCCAGCATGGGCTGGGGCGAGCGGGGAGCGCCATCCCGGAGGCGCGGGCGGGGCGGGGCCGGGATTGTGACTCACCTGGGACACCTGAGCACTCACTGGTGCCGCGCAGGGCCGAGCTCCCCACCCTGGCTGGTGCGCCCCAAGTCCAAGCGGTCGGGGTGGAAAGGACGCTCCACGCGCCCCGAGTCCCCAGGGCCCGGCCCGACCGACGGACTGCTGCGAACGCGCCCTCCTGACCTCCTCCCAGGGGCGTGCGTCCCACTCGGAGGTGCAGGGGCCCAGAGGACTCAGCCGGAGACCCGCTCGGGAACCGAGCCAGGCAGTGGGATTCCGGAGCCCACGTGGGCCGGGAGAGGGGCGGAGCTGGGAGAAAGTTGCTTAGTTAGACCCTGGAGCGAGAGCTAAGGGTGGAGGATTCAGGTCCAGCCCGGGCTGAGCGTGACCGCGGCCCTGGTTACTTTCTCTGGAGGCCGTGCTGGACTCTGGGCGGCCCTGTCCGAGGAGCACGGTGGGCCAGGGTGGGTCGGGGGAGAAGCCCCCCCGCCCCCAGCCTGGTGGTTGGGAACTTGTTGGGCCCTGCACTTCTGTCCCTGAGGAAACTCACCCACCCTGAGGCCCGAGGAGGTGGCTGGAGGGGGGGTGCCGTTCCCTCAGGGTTCTGCCTGGGGCAGGACCCCCCCCCCCGGACCAATGGGATGATGAGTACCCTCCCCCTGCCGCACGGCTGGGAGGGCCCAGATGGTGGTGGTTAGGGGCAGAGAAAGCTCCGGGGAGGCCAGCTGAGAGCTCTAGCAGGTGCACCAGAGATAAGAGACGGGCTCAAGGACTCCCAAGCCCAGCCCACATTCCCGGCTTACAAGGTGGCGTCCCCTGACATTCTCGTTTTCCGGCTCTCGGCCCCTCCCCCGGCTTCTCGGGAAATCTCGCTCCTCGGAGCTCCCATTTCTTCGGAGGCTGTACCTTCTGGTTCTGAGCTTGGCACTGTTTGAAATGCAAGGCGGTTTTCCCCCAAGGACTGAGCTCCCGATTCAGTCGCTCCACTGAATACTGCCACCCCTCTTTTTTCCTTTTTCCCCATCCCAGTGGTCAGGCCTGATGAGGGGTCTCCGGTGGGGTGGGGGTGGAGCTGGAGCACCTGGCCGGCAGGGTGGGTGCCTGGCGGGCCCCTCAGCGTTCTCCTCCTCTGCCTTTGCAGGAGCCCTGGCTTGTGGGGTCTGTGGATGGGAGGGTCTCCCCAGAAGACTGCTCTGGTTTGGGGCATCACTGACTGCATCCCAGAGAGGGCTCATGACTTTCTTCCCTGCCCCTCCAGCCCTTTCCCTGCGTCCTTGGACGCAGGTGTGGGCGGGGCTGGGTGGTCCCCCCTCATCTTCCCTGGGGTCAGAATTGTGACCGCCACATCTGGTAACTACCTGGCATGCTCATGGGGATAAAAACTGGGCATCTCCGCTGAGAGGTCAGGCTGCGGAGCGAAGCGAGGAGGCCGGGTACGCCACGTTGTAAGCTGGGAATGTGGGCTGGGCTTGGGAGTCCTTGAGCCCATCTCTTATCTCTGGTGCACCTGCTGGAGCTCTCAGCTGAGCACCAGGTGTCCTTGGAGGCTGGCAGGCTAGGAGGCTGCAGTGCTTCAAGCTGAAGGGGCCTGAGGCCTTGTCCCTGAAGCTCCTGTCCCCTCCACCTGGTGGATGGAGGATAGCCAGGTTTCAGCCCCCAGAGGTCCTCCCTCAGGGTGGGCCTGGCTGGGGTCTAGCAGGGTGGAGGGGTGTGCCCCAGCCGCAGCACTTTAGATTCTAGCTGTGCCATCACGTCATCAAGGGGGCTTCCGTGGCCTCAGGAGCGCCCAGGAGCCCAGCCTGGCGTGCAGGACCCTGGTGGGCAGGGCCCGTGGCTGTGACAGGCGCCCCCTAGGCCCAGCCCCCATCATGGGCTCCTTGAGTTGGCACTGGCTGTTATCTTTTCTCCAGTTGCTCCGCCAGGGGCGGGGGAGGGGTGGTCATGAGGCTGGCAAGAGAAATGGCCGTCACCTGGCTCCTTCACCTGCTCCCCTGGAGGGGCCTGGGTCTGCCACTCCCCCCGTGGGACAGAGGGAGGCTACCTGGCAGTGGTGGGCCGGGGGCACCCAGCTCAGAGGAGAGCCATCACACCCTGCTGTGTCCACAGTGCTGCTTCCTGCTTCTTCCCAAAGCACTTTAGCCTCAAAGGGAGGGGCACTGGGGGGAGGTGCTGTCCACCTCAGGCGGCCAGGAGAGGGGAGGGCACAGCCCAAGGTCACTTGGGCAGGAGGTGTGGAGCCACCCTAGGCCTGACTGGCCACGCCCCAAGCGCAGAGAGCACCCAGGAAGTAACTGTTCTTGGCAGGGGGTGGGGTCCTGGTGCCCAGGGCGGAGGAGAGGAGGGACAGGCCTCACCATGATTACCTCACAGCCTTTAACATAGACCTTGCCTGGAGACACAGGGCTACCAGGGAGGGAGGGAGGGAGAGAGCAGGGCTTGAGGACGGCAGGGGGCCAGGGTCTCCATGTGGGGCTCCTCTTGCTTCTAAGGGGTGGGTGCTGGGGGGCTGCGGGTGGTTGTTCTGGAAGCTGTGACACAGGTGTGAGGTGAGGAGAGAGGGAGATGAGAGTCTGGAGCAGGGAGAGCTGAGGTTCTGAGTCTGAGACCGTTAAGGTGGCCGTGTGGGCCAACAAGGTACCCCACTCCCCAGGTGGCGCGTTGGTTTTGGACATGCAGACTTTGAGCAGGAATGGGAGCCTTGAGGGGATACTCACCGTCCTGGGCTCCTGCCAGCCAGAGACAGCACCAGGAGCCAGAGGGCGGCAGTGACCTTCCCAAGGTCACCTTTGTGCCTGGGGGGCTGACGCAGCACGTGTCCCCACAGATGCGTGGCTCGTGTCTGAGCTCTTCTCACAGACCCCGCAGCAGCTCTCCTCCTACAGCTGGTATGGCAGCGCCAAGCTCTTCCGCTTCCGCGTGCCCCCGGACACCATCCTGCTGCGCTGGCTGCTACAGGTGTCCCGGCGCGGCGGCCCCGTGTGCGCAGACGTGGAAATCACCGTGTATGCGCCTGTCTGCCCCACCCACGCCCCAACAGCTGGCCCATACCCCAAGCTGGCTGAGCTGTACCCTGACAACTCGCTCTCCCACCCCAGGCACTTCCGATACGGCGCCCCCCCGGTCGTCAACCCCCTGAACACCAGCTTCCCTGAGAATACTTCCGTGCCGTTCTCCTTCCACACGGAGATGCTGCTGAGCACAATGCTGCAGAGTAACGCCTCCGTCAACGTCTCCCACCCGGCACCTGGGGACTGGTTTGTGGCTGCCCACCTGCCCCCTTCGTCCCAGAAGATCCAGGTTAAGGTGAGGGGCTGCCTCCCCTGCTCTGGCTGCTGACTGGGTGTCTGGCCCTGTTGCCCCCCAGCCTGACTCTCTGTCCAGGGCTTCATCCCGTCCTGTGCCTACATCTTCCAGCCGGACATGCTGGTCCTGCGGGTGGCTGAGGTCTCTGTGCTGGAGCCTGACATGCCTCTCCCGCAGACCCTCTCTCTCTCACGCCCCAGCTACCTCAAGTGAGTTGGGGGCCGAGGAGGCAGGTGTGGGGACGTTTGAACCCTTGGAAGTGGGGGAGAGGGTGGCACTGCTGTCGCCACCATGCAGGGAGGGAAGTGGGGGCCTTGGCCAGTAGTCTCGCTGGGAGTGAGAGTGGGCAGACAGTTGGTCCCGGGCATTGCCCTGCCTGCTCCCCGTGCACCCCTGGGGGGAGCTGCAGAGCCACCCACCCTCCTGCAGGGTCTTCGTCCCTGAGTTCACACGGGAGCTGCTGCTTGAGCTGCAAGACTGTGCTTCCAACGGGAGCCAGGCCTGCCTTGTGCGCCTGGCCGTGGGCTCGGTCACCCTGCCTTACGACTTCCGGAGGGTGCTCAGCTGCGCTGGCCGCCCTTTGCCCTGCCGTCTGCTGCTACACTCCCCACCCTGGGACCAGTGGCTGCAGGTGACAGCGGAGAGCCTGGCAGGGCCCCACATCACGGTGACCTTGAATGCTGTGGCCACCCTCACAGGTGGGCTGCATGGGTGGCGGGCAGGCAGGGGTAGTTCTGCCCTGGCTGCATCTCGGCTGACCCTGTCCTCTGGCAGCCTGCAGGCCGTGGACTGTGAGCACCCAGCACCTCCTGCAGGGCAGCCCCAACCAGAGCCGTAACGCCTCCGATGGCCCCCAGGACCCTGTCTGCAGCAGTGGGGCAGGCAGCCCCTCCTGCCTCGTGAGCTACCCTGTGCTGCGGGAGGACATGGACGTGGTATCCGTGCGCTTCCGGCCTCTGGACAGGGTCTCAGTGCTCGTGCAGCCCCACATGCCCTCTGTGCTGCGGCTGTACCTCAACACGGGCATGGACAGTGGGGGCTCCCTCACGGTCTCTCTGAGGGCCAACAAGGTACCCCCACTTCCCAGGATTGGTCTGTGGGCGATTCGGGCCCACGGGGGCTCTGATCAGGGTGGTGTAGCCTCAGGCTGACTTTAGCCACAGAAACAGGGTCCAGGAAACCAGGTGACACCAGCCAGGTGTTGGGCCAGACGGGGGTCTGCTCGAGGGACAGGGGCTGCACCTGAGGAGATGGGGCAGCGGGCGGGGCTGAGATCTGAGAGGCGGGCTCCAGGCAGGGGTCCTGGGCAGACACCAGCGCCCTCAGGTGGACGCCGCCCTCCCTGGGCCGCTCTGGGGCCTGGGCCGACCCTGACTGCTTCCCTCCAGACCACGGTGAAGAACAGCACCCTGGTGGTGGCCTGCGTGAATGCGGCCTCCGCCTTCCTTGGCTTTAACGCTTCACACAACTGCACCACAGGTGCGTGGGCTGGCGGGTGGCGGGTGGCGCCAGGCCAGCCACTCTGGCCAGCTCCAACCAGGCCTTCCTGCCTCAGCCTTCTTCCAGGGCCACTTGCTGACCCTGAGCACCACATCCTGGCAGGCCAACCTCATAGTGCCCTTCCCGGAGACAGAAAATTGGTACCTCTCCCTGCAGCTCGTGTGCCCTGAGAACCCCGAGTGAGTGAACCTGGGGACTGGGGAGGAGCACTACCACATCAGTGGGTCTGGCCAGGACTGGGGAGTGGCCCACTTCCTGCAGCACAAGCCCGCCAGCTGCCTGCCCTGTGGTCACCCCTGCAGCAGCCCCAGGACTGGTGTGGAGCCTTGGAGGGACTCCTGGGCCTGGGGGGAGGGGTGTGGCAGAGCTTATGGCTCCAGGCTGTTGGACCAGGGATGGGTGTGGGGCTTGTTTCTGGGTTCGGGGGTCCATCAGTCTGCAACGTCACTGATGGGGCCCCCTGCCTTCCTGGGCGCCCCCATCCCCGCAGGGAGTGTGAGCAGACCGTGGTGCATGTGGAGACCACCCTGTACCTGGTTCCCTGCGTGAACGACTGTGGACCCTATGGCCAGTGCCTTGTGCTCCGCAGACACGGCTACCTATATGCAGGCTGCAGCTGCAAAGCCGGTGAGGGCTGGCCGGAGGCGTGGGCGTCCTTCCCAGCCCCCCACCTCTGCTCGCTGGCACGGGCACAGTGTGGCACTCAGGGGCAACCTGCCTCCCGGCCTTCCCTGCAGGGGCCTGGGTGGGGGCTGAGGCTCAGCAGCACCGCCCCGTGTCCACAGGCTGGCGTGGCTGGAGCTGCACAGACAATAGCACAGCCCAGACAGTGGCCCAGCAGACGGTGGCCGCACTGCTGCTCACCCTCAGCAACCTGGTGTTCCTGGCCCCCATCGCTGTCTCTGTCCAGCGCGCCTTCCTGGTGGAGGCCTTTGTCTATGCCTACACCATGTTCTTCTCCACGGTAGGCCCCGCAGGGACCCTGGGGCGGGCAGGTAGGTGGCTGGGCAGGCCGTCAGGCCCGGCACTCACTGTCCCCCTCAGTTCTACCATGCCTGTGACCAGCCGGGGGAAGCTGTGCTGTGCATCCTCAACTATGACACGCTGCAGTACTGTGACTTCCTGGGCTCTGAGGTGTCCATCTGGGTCACCATCCTGTGCATGGCGCGACTGAAGGCTGTCCTGAAATATGTGAGTGCCCCTCCCGACCCCCAGGGCCAGGGGGAGCAGGGCAGGATCGAGGGAGCAAGTGAAGGGGAGCATCCTGTGTACCCTTAGAAACCTGTGTCCTTCCAGCAGCCACAGGGGAGCAGGGCCAGCTGTTCAGAGGATGCCAGGAAGAAAGGTGGTGGGCAGGGCTAGCCAGGCCCCCAGCTCATCTCTCCTGGGGCCTGGTGCTCTACCCAGGGCCAGAGCTCTCCCAGGAGCCCCCAGCCGCACTCCTGGTCCCTGGTGCCAGAGGCTTTGTGGCTTTTCTGCTGCGGCTGGGACTGGCCGATGGGGATGCCTTCCCTGGTGCCCAGAAGCTGCCGTCCTCTGTACCACCCCCTCAGATCTGAGAACCGGGAACTGCCCGCCAGGGCCTGCTCCGAAGGGCACCCTCAGGAACCCCCTGGGCAGGGCAGGGTGGGAGGCTCGGAAGCATCCCTGGGTGCACTGGGCTGAGTGTCAGGGGCCATGAACTTACAGAAAGGGGAGAACGGCCAGCTACAGCCAGAGGCCTGTGTGTGATGAGACGTGTGGTGGGTATCTTTCCCTTTGTGCCCAATCAGCTGTTTATATAGCGCCGAGGTGACTGAGTTAAGACACAGCCTACACTGATACAGCTTATTAACATAAGAAAGAAAATCCTGTTCCCAGATGGGATTACATCCACGTGTGTAGGGCTTTAGAATTTACCACACATATTTTTGAGGAACACAGTTCAACCCATAACATTCCACCTTTTGCCCTTCATGCATACAAAATATATTCACCCTATCATATCATCTCAAAAGTCTTAAATCAACTCCAAGTCTCAAATCTCATCTTCTGAATCAACTAATCAAGTATGGATGAGAATCTGGGCATATTCCATCCTGGGGCAACATTCCATTCCCTTTCTGGACCTGTGAAATCCAGAATATAAGTTACTGCTTCCAAAGTACGCTGGTGGAATGGGCACAGGGTAGACGTTTCCATTACAAATGGAGAAATTGGAGGGAAAGAAAGGATAACAGGCACCAAGCAAGTTCAAAACCCAGTAGAACAAATTTCCTTCTGCCTGAAGGCTTGAAAATAATCCTGTTCTCTGGGACTATCTGGACAATGAATGGCCCTGCCCTCCAGACTCTAGGTGTTAGCCATGCTCTCCGGATTCTGGGTGGAGGCCCCTAGGCCTTGGGCATCAGCCCTGCCCTCCAAGCCCACTGAGACAGCACCTCTGCTTCCTCAGCTTTGGGGCTCCATTCTGTTAGTCCAGCTGAGTGGCAATCCAAACTGTGGGCCCTGGTAAGTTCCATTCTCTTGCCCCTTGGGCATGGCGGCTCTGCCCTCCCAGCTTTGGGCAATGCCTCATCCTGTTGGCCCACCTGAATGGCAGCCCCACACTCTGGAGCTGAGTAGGTGGAGATCTGACTCTGAAACCTAGCAGGCAGCTTTTCCAAACTTTGAAACAAAGGCAGTTGTTTAATCTTCTGAAATGGAAGCAGCCCTGCCCACTGTGGTCACTCTAGCAGTTCTGCTGATATTTGAACTGTCCCTGGGATGGTGCCTGCCTTTCCTTGGAGAACAACAGATAAACATCTGTCCCTCCATTGGCCTGCTTCTGGCCTGTACAATTCCAGGAGGCAGCCAGCTCCCTGCATTTTGTACTGTCTCTGTCTCGTTCAGTCTGAACTGATGGGATTTTTACTTAGGGTAAAGTCACAGGCTTAATCTCTTGAACAAAAGATTGAGCCCGCATGTTCTTGGTGAGAGTTCAAGGATACGTGTCCTTAGTTTGTACAACAGAATTTTCCAAATTTTTATGTTCCGCGTTTTATTTTTAATAGTTACTTTTAAGTCCATCTCTTTCCTCTCAAATTTTACTTTAAGCAGCAAGGAGAAGCCACACAGCTCCTTTAAGATTTTGCTTAGAAATTTTCTTAGCCAAATATCCAAGTTCATCACTTACAAATTCTACTTTCTACCAACATTTGAACGTAATTTAGGTAAGTTCTTTGATACTGCAAAGAGCATCACCTTCCCTCCAATGTGTAATTACATGTTCATCATGTCCTTTTAAAAGTCTCACCAGAAGCACATTTTAATGTCCCCGTTTCTAGCAACATTCTGTTCATGATGATAGAAGCTCTCATCACAGCTCACAGTTCTTTCTGAGCCCTCGTCAGAATCATCCTTAAAGTCCATAATTCTACCAACAGGCTCTTCAAGGCAACCTAGGGCCTTACCTTGAAGCACATGAAAATTCCTCCAGATTCTACCCCTTAACCAGTCACATTTTAGGTATCTGTTAGAGCAGCATCCCAGCCTCCGGTACCAAATACTGTCTCAGTTTCTCTGGAGTTCCTCGCCAATCTTCAAGTAACGGGTACCTTCGCCTTGTTTACGCTTCTTTCTCTGTGCCTAATCTGCTCTTTTTATGTCTCAAATGTGGTTGGTTTAAAACACACCCTATAGTAATATCTCATTAACATAACAAAGGAAGTCCGGTTCCAAATGGGATTATATCAACATGTATAGGGGTCACATTTTGGGGGGACACAATTCAGTCCATAACAGGATCTCTCCACAGGGAACAGCTGGGGGAGATTGAAAACTCCCTGCCTGGAGCCCCTGGAAGCCTAGGGGTACAGAGTCTGGGGGTGGGGGGCACCACATGTGGCTGTTCTGTGTGTGCTATAGCGAGTGGATGAACTTGGGGGGCACCACCTTGCAGTTTGTCCCAAGGTGCCCTGCCTGGCCACGTCTTGGTGTCTCGAGCACACCTGTCCACCTGTGGACGGGTCAGTGGAGGCACTGGGGCCCAGCAGTGTGGGAGCAGGGGATGGGAGTGGCTTCCCTCCTGTCCAGCAGAGCAGAGATAAGGGGCAGTAGTGGAAGCCAGCAGGACCACCAGTGTGCCCAGGCTCCCTGTGACTTGCAGCCACCTCTGTCCACAGGTCCTGTTTATCCTGGGCACGCTGCTCATTGCCATGTCCCTGCAGCTGGACCGTAGGGGTGCCTGGAACATGATGGGGCCCTGCCTCTTTGCCCTCGTGATCATGGTCTCCATGTGGGTAAGGGTCCAGGGCAGGCAGGCATTCCTATTGCAACCTCCCAGCGATGGGCAGAGCCCAGCCCGGAGGAGAGCTTGAGGCTCCCAGCAGACTCCTATTCCGAGAGAAGAGAGCGTGACCCCTTGCTCTGGTCACCAGCACCCTGCCTGGCCCAAATCCCCCACCCCCGCCGAGTGCACTCTTTGTGCCTGAGGCCTGGACCCAGGACTAGCAGCCTTTGTACCTGGGCCCCCCTCCCTGCCCCCTTGGTGATTACAGTTCCTGTACCCCGGCAGGCCCCTGTGCCCACTGCCCTGCCGCCCCAACCCCACCACACCTGTTTGTTCCAGGTGTACCGCTGTGGGCGCCGGCGCCACTGCTACCCCACCTCATGGCGGCGCTGGGCCTTCTACCTGCTGCCTGGCATCTCCATGGCCACCGTGGCTATGGCCATCTATGCCTTCATGATGACCAGTGACAACTACTACTACACCCACAGCCTCTGGCACATGCTGGTGGCCGGGAGCGCAGCCTTCCTGCTGCCGCCCTGTGAGGGACACACAGAGCCCTGGGCCTGTGTGCAGAGGCTGCCCTGCCATTACCAGATCTGCAGGAATGACCGCGAGGAGCTGTACGCCGTGACGTGACGGCAGGCGGGTGGGTGGGCAGGACAGGGAGAGGGACCCTGTCCAGATTGATTTCCAAACTAATAAAAGTGCCCTGAGCACCCGGAGTAGGGACCACCACCCTCCCAGTGCGGTGAGGCTCCCTGGGTGCTGCCAGCTCAGGCCCTCTGCCATCTGACAGGTCAGTGGTAGCCCTGGCTGCAGCTGGCAGGGACCAAGTATAGGCTGCCGGGGCCTGGTGGGAGGGTAGCTTGATTGGAGACATGGAGAAAGTCTTCCCATTGCCCTGTCCCTGTAAGGGTGTGCTCTGATCCTGGGGCAGGGGGGCCGGAGCCCACCTCCCGTGGGTGGAGTGGGCCACCCCTGAGTGCCAGCAGCCCTGGCAGGGGCTCCCCTCTCTGCCACCATCACTGTGGAGAGAGGTGCCGTGGTCACCGAAGCTGATGGGTGCTGGGGACACAGGGCCAGTCCGCCATGGGGTGACTCTACCATGTGGGCCCAGAGGGGAGCCCCCAAAGAGTGAGGTGTGCTGCCCTGGGGATCCTTCTCTAGGTTGTAGGGCTTGGGAGCCCAGGCTGTGGCTGTCCCCTGCACTGGGTCATGCTTGGAGAGGGGACTCCCCGGACCCCAGCCCGCCTTTGCTGCTCTGCGCTGGGAAGCAGGGGGAAGGGAGCTGATGGCTAGTGACTGCCCGGCCCTTCCTCATGGCGGCCAGAGTGTAGGGGACAGCCCTTGGTGGGCTGTGTCAGGTGGGGGACATGGCCTGCCCCTGGGGGGGCTCCCTTGGCCACCGAAGCATCCTCCAGGCTTCTAAAGGGGAACGGTGTATATTGGGGATATAATTTTTTCTGAATTAAGACATTTTTATGTAGTTTTTATTTTGCTATGATTGGTGAATTTAATATATTCTACAATGATTTTTCAAGTCAAACGAGGTCTGACGTTGTCTGCGCTCCTTCCCCGGGTGGTGGGGGGGCGGGAAATGAGCCTGGCCCGAAGCCCCTGACCCGCCCCTCTGCGCCGCCGTTCGCGGGAAACGCTGGACCGCACTTTGCCGACGGTGCCTTGAGCAACCTCTGTTTCCACAGGCTGTTTTCCATGGTCCCTACAGAGGGAGGGGGCGGGACGAGGGAGCAGATGGATAGGCTCTGCAGCCAGTCAGTGGCGGGCCGTTGCGCGTGGCTTCCGGTTCCGGCAGCGCACTGGGAGGTGTGCGAGCGGGAGTCGCGGTCCGGCCAGAGAGTTGGGGCGGTAGGGCAGGGTACGAGCCGGTGTCCGGGGCCGGGGTCCAGGGCCGGGGTGGGGATCGGAGTCCAGGCCGAAAGCTGGAGCCGGGGTCGGGAGTGAGGATGGAGTCTGAGTGAGGTTGATGGGGTTGGGGGTCCGGATGGGGTCGGTGTGCAGGATGGGATGGGGGTGAGGTCGAGAACGAGGTCGAGGGTGAAGATGGTGTCGGGGACGTGGACGGGTCGGGCCGGGTCCAGGACAGGCTGCGGTTGACGGCGGCCCTCGGTCCCGCCAGCCTCTCCGCGATGCCCTTGCACAAGTTCCCCGTCCACCTGTGGAAACAGCTCCGGCTGCGGGAAGGCATCTACTCGCGCCTGCCCCAGCACTACCTGCGCACGCTGAAGGAAGCGCCCACGCCCACTCCCGTCCACTACAGGCCCCACGGGGCCAAGTTCAAGATCAACCCCAAGAACGGGCAGCGGGAGCGCGTGGAGGACGTGCCCATTCCGCTTTACTACCCGCCCGAGTCCCAGCTGGGGCTGTGGGGCGGTGAGGGCTGGATCCTGGGCCACAGATACGTCAGTAACCACAAGGTGGGTGATCTGTGCTGGGCGCAGGCAGACTTCAGGGGGCTACCGGGCCTCTGCTGCCTCCCCTCCGTGCTGGGTTCCAGAGATAGCCTCAGAGCAAGGGGGACACCGACCGGTCCTGGTGGGGACACACAGGCCCTGCCATATAAGCACACTAGCAAGTGAAGTCACAGATCTGGCAGATGGTACCCTAAGGCAGGGAAGATGATCACAGAGAAGGCAGCCAGGCAGAGGGCAGCACTGTACAAAGACCTTGGGGTAGCTGGGCAGGGAGCATAAGGAAAGAGGCCCCCTGCCAGCGTGACTGATCATAGCTCCCTCAGTCCAAAGGACACGATTGAGGCTGGGCTGCTGCTGCCTCCTCTCAACACTTAGCTGAGAGACTGCCCTAGGGTCAGGCAGCTTGCAAGGGACACAGCCATACCATCCTGCCCCTGGTGGGATCCTGGAGAGGCTGTGGAGTCTCCTGGGCTGGCATCTCCCTTTGCCACACCACCTACCTGGGGCAAGGGCAGACTAGGGGAAAGCCGACTTAAGGGGCAGCCAGGTTCAGGTCCACGGTGGGGTTGGGCAGCGCCAGCCTAGGGGCCAGGATGTCTGGCTCACCCACGGCAGTGGGGAAGGAAGGGCGAGGGGCTGAGCAGGGGTCCGCTGGCTCAGGCCTTTGCGGGGGGCAGCCGCACTCAGGGGTCTCTACTGCACCCTCAGCGCTCTAAGAGGGTGAGGAAGATCTGGAAGCCGCAGCTGTTCCAGCGCGAGCTGTACAGTGAGATCCTGGACAAGAAGTTCTCTGTGACCGTGACCATGAGGACGCTAGACCTCATTGACGAGGCCTTCGGGTTCGACTTCTACATTCTCAAGGCAGGCTGGAGGCGTGGGGAGTCAAGGCTGGCGGAGCCATTGTAGCAGGCTCACTGGGGCACGCTGGGGTGGGTGGAGGGTCACTGGTCGGGACTCTGCTGTGGCAGCAGTGGCGGGAGGCAGGAGCCCTGCAGTCGTGCCTGGCCCTATGCCCAGCCTTCCCCAGACCCCAAAGGAGGACCTGTGCTCCAAATTCGGGATGGACCTGAAGCGCGGGATGCTGCTGCGCCTTGCCCGGCAGGACCCACAGCTGCACCCGGACGACCCAGAACGGAGGGCGGCCATCTACGACAAGTACAGGGTGAGGCTTTGCACGCATCTCCCATCGCCTTGCAGCCCCGGCGGCCGGGCCAGTGGGCAGACCCTCACCACTCCCTCCCCTCCCTGCCGCCCAGGAGTTTGTCGTCCCTGAGGCCGAGGCAGAGTGGGTTGGCCTGACGCTGGATGAGGCTGTGGAGAAGCAGAGGCTCCTGGAGGAGAAGGTGCGAGCACGGGAGGGGGTAGCGGGAGCCACCGGCCTGGGTGCCACTAGTGCGTCCCCCTCTCTGGCCCCCTCTAGCTAGCTTGATGGGGTTCATGGACAGAGAGGTCTCTGGTGGAGACAGCTGGATTCTCACTGCCAGGGCTTTCCTTGCGTTACCCCACCACCCCCTGCTATCCCCCAGGGTCTTCCCTGAGGGGCAGGTGGGGGCCAGGGAAGTGACTCCTACACCCCCAAGGGGGGCTTGTCTTAAGGGCAGGGCTCTACCCTCGGGGCCCCTCGGGGTTCAGCCAGCGCAGATGGATTCCTGCCCCCCAGCCTGGGCTGCTCCAGGCTCCCAGGGGAGCACTGAGCATTTGGGGGCTCTGCTTAGCCATGGGCCAGGCCAGCACAGCAAGGCCCCTGGGTGCTAACTGGGCTCCCTGAGAAGCCCAGCGCTCCGGCGCCCTGAGGCCTGCCCTCACGTGACCCCCCCTCCCCCGTAGGATCCCACCCCTCTGTTCAAGGACTATGTGGACGAGCTGGTGGGGCAGCTTCAGCGGCAGGCGCTGTCTGAGCCCGTGGTGTTGCAGAAGAGGGCCATCAGGAAGTGATGTGGCACTGTGGACTCTGTGGATGGAGAGCCTGGGGGACGGCAGGGCCACCGTGGGCAGTGGGCGATGCTGGCCTGTGTGCTGCCTTTTGCAGCGTAGCTCCCAGGTGGGGCGGGCTCTGGGGGCTGAGGGGTCTCTTGTTGCAGGATCTTGGGAACCCAAGCGCTGGGCCTCCTCGCTGCCCCTTGGTTCCTCCCATCCCCGGTGAGGCCCAGCCGCCCTCTTTGGTATCAGAGGCCCTGCCACGGGTCCGCCACACCCTGGGGAGCCCACCTGGGCCTGTGGCACAAGAACAATAAAGTCTGAGCCGAGCACACGGGGACTGTGTGTGCGAGTCCTTTGCCGAGCTGAGAGGCAGGAGCAGATGGGTGGGGCAGGGGCACAGTCCACTCCAGCTGCCCCCTTCTCGGTGGGACCTGCCCTTCGGGGAAAGCTCAGCCTGTCCCAGGCTCCACAGCAGGACCGAGACCTGGTTTGGTATGTTTTGCTTTTCTCTGGGAGAGGGCCTGCATGGTTGAAGGTGCCTTTCCCCATGGCACGTTGCTGCCTAAACGTTCTGGAACATTCTCCCAGTTCTGAGTGGGTGGGACGAGTCACCAGCAGCTTGCCGTTGGGAGCTGAGCACACCCCACTGGAGCCTGGCCGCAGGAGCTCCGTCTGGGGCCAAGGAGGTCCTGCTGGTGGCAGGGGTGTGATGCCATTGTGGAGTCAGGAATTTCTGTGATCCCCGCAGGAGGCTGGGCCAAGGTGGGGCCTGCCTGGACCTGTGACCTTAGACCTTGGCTGCCCCCCTCTGCCCAGCCAGGGCTGTGCCAGATGCGGGGTGAGGAGGAGGTGTTGGGTGAGCCATCAGACACCCTGAGGTCTTTCCTGCCCTGAGATTTGGGGGGTGCCCTGCCGCCCCGGACCCTCTAAAACGGCCCCACCCTCTGCTGCGTGGGGCTGTGTCACTGGCAAAGCCTCACCCAAGGTGGTGGGAGCCCCTCCCCAAGCCGACCACAGGCCTGTCTCTGACTCCTCTGGGCACCTTGGGTGCGTGTCCTGCCACTCTGTTGTTGGGGCTTTCCCCACACACAGGTGGCTCACACGATCACCCTGCTCTGTGAACAGCTTTTAATTTTGTTTTGCTGCAAGCAGACCGTGGCCAGCCCACCCTGCCCTGGCTCGAGGGCCCGGTACAACGTTGCCCCCAAGCCCTTGGCTCCAGCGGGCTGGGGTTTCCTGGATGGGCCTGCCCTCCTGGCCTCTGCACCATGGGTCCTGTGGGCAGCCCTGACTCCTTCCTGCCCCTGGCCTGCTGCTCTTCACCCTCGAATTCTCAGTCACCCATCTGCTCGCCTCCTGCCCTTTCCTACATATTCAAGGCCCCAGGCAGAGCTGGTCCCTGTGTCAGATTCCTGGGGTCCCAAGGGGCTGGGGTGCTGCCATGGGGGCTCAAGGCAGCAGACCTGGGCCTGGGTCTCTGTCGGCCACAGCAGGCCGGGCTGCAGTTTTCAAGTCTCATCTTGCAATGACTCTTGTAGCTGCAACACTGCCCTGGGCCTGGGGGTCATCTTGGGCCGGGGGCTGGCCACCAGTGTTGCTGACCAGAGGAGGGGGCCCTGTGTGGCCCAGCAGGTCACATGGGTGCATCATGGTCCCCTCCCTTGTAACCTGAGCTGACTCCACCTTCCTGGCGGGGCTACTGTGAGGATGCTCCAGGTCAGTGGTGGAGATTGCAGCCGGCGGGACTGGGCGGCCGGCCTTTGAATCCCTGCGACCATGAGCCCTTTCTAGTGAGAGTGCCGATACGTTCTCGTACACGTCCTTGACTCAGTGACTCATAGACCCAGCTCCCCCCCAAAACCAGCCCAGGTTGAGGGACAGGTCCCCTGTGGGCTGGTGCTTCTGCTGTTCCACCCTTCAGGAGGCAGGTATGTGGCGGGGGGGCATGGACGTGCTCAGACATGGATATACACACTCAGACATGCCTACGCACCACCCAGACACACAAACATACATGCAGACACATGCTCAGACATGCACATACACAGACATGCCTACGCACCACCCAGACACGCACACATACATGTGGACACATGCTCAGATGTGCACATACACAGACATGCCTACGCAGCACTCAGACACGTGCACACTCAGACGTACACAAACACATTCAGACACGCTCAGAAACGCACGCTCACGCACAAGGAACCAAGAGGTGAGCCGCGGTGGTTGGGGAAATGCTGCCGCCCTTGCCCCTGCCCTCCACGTGTGCCCCCACCTCACCCAGGCCGGGGCTGGCTGAGCCCCCCTACTCTGCCTCCACTTGTTCCCACCACAGACCCCACCTCTCAGTCTCTTTCTAGCTGTCTTCCTGCCTTGTTGAGGGCTTTCAGCCTCCCAACCCCTGGAGCTTCCAGCCCCCCTATTTCCCGGAATTCCAATACCCCTTAGCCTCTGGAGCCCCTAGTATTCCTTGCTAAGGCCCTGCAGCCCCTCAGGTCCTTGGGGGGGCACCTGTACTGACCAAAGTTAGACCTGCAGAGGCCGCCTGCCCTGTGCACCACCATCACTACAACCGTGATTGGTCACCTGGGTCTCCACCACTGCCTGCCTGCAGTGCAGACCCGGCAGCTCCAGAGGTGGGCTTAGTTAGATGACGTCCCCAGGCCCAGATCCCCTCGACTGTCTCTCCTTTCAACACTGGCCGGCCACCCCAAGCTGCAGCCAGGTCCAGAGAACACATAGCCGGCGTCAGCCCCCCACATCTCCCGACACCCCAGAATGGGGCTGCAGCACCAGACTGTCCCCCCAGCCACATCAGGCTGCAATGGGCCTGTGCCCTCACCCCATACCCTAACCCTGGGCAAGGCCTACCTCCTGGTGACTGCAGCACGGCTGGGTTGCCCCTCGAGGCTGGGGACTCACCCGTCTGACCCTGCTGTGGCCCGTGACAGGGTGGCCCCGGGCTGCATGAAGCGGTCTGGAGCCGAGCCCAGGGGCCAGTTAAGCAGCTCTGTGTCCTGTGGCTCTGAGCCAGCCCCCCGGCCCACCTGAGCCCACTCCTCAGAATGTGTGACCCTGTGGGCCTGCATCCGTGCTTCCCCTGCTGTGGGCTCCTCAGCACCTGCTCCTCACAGTGCTGCAACTGTGCTCACCTGTCCACCTGGCAGATGTGGTGGGCCTGGGCCAGGAAGTGGGACATGGCCTTCATGGAGCCTAGGCCAGGGGGTGCCGAGGGGCATTTGGGCAGATGGGGGCTCCAGGGATGCTCCACACCCCACACCGCCGTCCAGGGAGTGAAGCCCGGGTCTCGTGGCTGCAGGTGGGTAACGCGCAGAACAGAAAGGAGCCGGGCTACAGTCACGGGATGCAGCTGGTCATCACAGGGCACTGAGGCCTGCCAGGGTGGGGAGTTGAGGCTGGGGGCAGGGCCACACTGGAGACTCACAGCGCTCTCGAGGGGGAGTGTGAGCATGTCTGTGTCACGGGCGGTGGCTAGTGGGGGCGTAGCAGAGGGGTCCTTTGGGGTCTGAGGTGGCTCTGTCCACCTGGGCGGTTCTCCCTGCCCTTTCTCCCACTGCCTTACTCCAGCCTGGGCCTGGGCTCAGCCCCTGGGGCAGGCCTGACCTGAAGCCCTTCTCTCAGCAGCAGCTGCAGAGGAGCTGGGGGCTGCTGCTCCTCCTCTACCATGGGCGTCTGGGCAGGGCGTGAACTGACCTCCCAGGAGGGACAGGGACCCCTCACATGTGCCACGCACAGAAACACGCATGCACACACAGATGCTCAATAGCTGGTGCGAGGACCATCGCCACACAACCACACCACTTGCCCCTCCGTGGGGACCCTGGCCTGGGCCCACCAGCGGTGCCGCCTGCTCCCTCGGCAGTCAGGAGTGGCTCGGGGGGGTGGTGTCTAAAGGGGCTAGTTGCCATGGCTACCATAGGGTTCTGAGGCCCGTCATCTGGTCCCCGCCTCAGCCAATCGGTGTGGGAGCTGGAGCTGCAGCCCAGAGTCACACTTCTTCCTTCAGCCACGCAGTGGCCACGAGCCGGCCCACTTCCTGGAGTGGCTGTGAGCCGGCCAGGCCCGTCATGGCGGACAGCGGGAGGGACGGGCGTGAGCGGGCGCGTGAAGCCAGGCAGGTGAGGTAAGCCGGTGGCAGGCAGATGGACAGATGGACAGACGGACAAACAGGAGGGTGGGCAGACAGTGGATACGCCCCCACCACCCGTTGTTCTCATGGCCACGGCCCTGCCCTTGGCCACCCTGCCCTCTGCACCCACCCCACCTGCACACGCATGCACCTGCACCATCAGCCCGAACCCTCACCCGAGTGTCCCCAGGAAGGGTCATGGGAAGAGAGACAAAGGCGGTGGCACGGATCTCACTGCGCCATGGCCCCCAAAGTCGTCCTTCTAGCCCTTTTCACATCAAATTTCACAAGGAGGCGGCATCAAAGACCCCCAACCGGCACCCAGCTCTTCTGGCTACTGCTCCCGGGCCAGGCGGCAAGCCATTGTAGAGTCAGTTTGGTTTAAAGGACGGCTTTTCGAGAAGAAAAGAAGGAAAAAAAAAAAAAAGGCAGGCAAAAGAGAGAAAAACCCGTCCACCTGTGTCAGGGAACAGCCGGTCCAAGATGGATTGGAAGCACCAAACCCACTCTGGACCTCAGAGGCTGGCCCTGCTGAGAGTGGGGGGGCGATGTAGGGTTTGTAAATGGAGCCCACTGGAGATCAAAGAGGGGGCACATTTGTGGGGGGGTGTGCACGTTGTGTGCGGTAGCGTGCCATGGGTGGTGGTGCCTGGCGCGTCCCTGTCCACTGTGGCTACCTTCCTTGTTGCTTTCGTCCTTGCTGCTGTGGGTGACATATGTGGACAAGTCTGGCAGGGCCGAGCAGGGAGAGGGAGGCCGGGGCCACGCACCCACAGCTGGAGTCTGTTCTGAAGGCCGTCTGCAAGGTGGTCTTGCCCAGGCCTGGTCCTGCCACCCATGCCTCCACCTTCTCCCAGTATCCAGCCCCTTCTCCAAGTTCTGCCCACATGTGCCTGGGCATGAGGACAAGGGTAGCTGCCCACGGTCAACCCGACCGCTGTCCTGCCGCCAGATGGTCCAGCAAGCGCGTCCCGGAGTTCAAAGCCTCTGTCGATGCGATTGTCAGGTTATTAGGTGAACTCCAAGAGGCAAATCTTTTAATCCACTGTGGCTAATCCAGTGCGCTTTTGTTTGCCCTGACAGATTCCACAACAACAAAGGGGCCGGGGGACCCCGCATACATAATCACATGCCCAGGACTTGGCTGCAGGGGCCAAGGGCTCCT